GTCAGAGAACCGACTGCCACTAGATGTCCTCTGACCTCCCACCTGGATCTCTCTCTCTCTCTCTTTCTCTCCCCCCCCCATCTCTTTTTTCCTTCCTTCCTTTCTTTTCTGAGACAGGGTCTCATTATGTAGCTCTGACTGTCCTAGAGCTCGCTATGGAGACCAGACTAGCTTTGAACTCACAGAGATCCACCTGCCTCTACCTTCCAAATGCTAAGGTTAAAGAAGTGCACCACCACGTAGACCCTACTTCTTAATACTGGGGACCAAGTTTCCAACGCATACACCCTTGCAGGACAAACCACATCTAAATCTCAGCAGCCATAGTTCCTTGGAGTCTGGAGGAAAGAGACAGAGATGGGCAGATGTAGTACAGGGGACTTATGGGTAGTGAACTTCTGAACAATACTGAAGTGATAGATTCCCATCATCAGGTATGTGTCAAAATGCAGAGGTTGCCCAACACAGAGTGGTTCCCAGGGGTAAAAATAGGAGCTTTAGTTCATAAAACAGTTTAGTTCAGTATAGGTTCATTAACTGTAACAAATGTTACACTGCCAGATATTAAGAACAGGGAAGCCGGGCAGCGGCGGCGGCGGCGGTGGTGGTGGTGGTGGTGGTGGTGGTGGTGGTGGTGGTGGTGCATGCCTTTAATCCCAGCACTTGGGAAGCAGAGGAAGTCTGATCTCTGTGAGTTTGAGGCCAGCCTGGTCTACAGAGTGAGATCCAGGACAGGCTCCAAAGCCACACAGAGAAACCTTGTCTCGAAAAGACAAAAAACAAAACAAAACAGGGAAACAGAAAGCAGGGTTGGGGCAAAGAGAGAAAGTATGCCACAACCAGCTATACACTCTGCTCCAATTTTTCCATAGACCTGAAATAGCTCTATAAATAAAACTATTAATTTTTAAGTATGTGCAAGATCCAGCACAGGGAAATGGAGAAGCCAGTGTACTGAGAAGCTTTTGTTGAAGTTCCTCCAACCTGGAGGTCCTGGAGGTCCTGGAGTGGATCAAAATGACCTGGAAATATGAAAGTGGCAGAGTGCCAACGGGCACCTCTGCCCGCCGCTGTGGGGAAAGGGAGTTCTGTATTCAGAACCTCTAGGAGAAGCTGCCTGTGTCTAGATTGCCAAAGACTTGGCCAAACCCAGCTGGTTGAGAACCAGCTGTGGGCTTAAATCTGCAGTCACACAAAGTGAGACGGTCCTCAAGATTGTAAGTGAACACTGGGGACATAGGATTTTTTTGGTAGAAAGCTCACCTAGCGTGCTCAAGGGAGTGAGCCAGACCCCCTGCACCCCAGCAACCCATCCCAACAGTTGGGAGGAGGACCGGGAGCTCAAGGTTGTCTTCAGCTACTTAGTGAGTTCAAGGCCAGACCCTAGAGTCAGGAGTGGGACGAATAAATGAATGAATGAATGAGAATGAATGAATGAAGTGTAGTCTATGACACGAAGAGGATGAGATGGCAAGAAATTGTCATCTCCCTGGAGGTGACTCTATCACTTTATAGGGACTAATATTCATCTTCAAAGTCAGGACACACTCCAAGGAAGCTTAAGATCTGTGATATTTTTATAATAACAGTTAAAATATTCTCCTCTTCACTTGAAATCTGTTCTTACCTGAAAATACTTTCAATAGTTGATTTTTAAGTTTATACACACACACACACACACACACACACACACACACACACACACACTCTTTATTCATCACTTACAGGAAAATGCACAGTTATAAATTCTTTATGTATAGTAGCTGATCAGTCCTCATCTCCGAGGACCCCTCCCCCCAAAAAAGAAAGAAAAGAAAATGAAAACAAGAAAACCTACATGTGAATAAAAGGATACACATCTAATCAAACTCAATAGAATGGTTACCTATTGGCAGAGAGCGAGGTGGAAATAAGAAAGTCTAAACACTTAAAATTTAGAGAAACAGCCTTACACAGATGAATATTATAGCGTGTCCTGAACAGAAGAGTCCCTCAACTCCCTCCAGTGGTTTTATTTATTGTTTATTTAACTTTCGTGGTTCTGAAGACGAAGCCCAGGGCCCTGTGCAGGACATACAAGTGTTCCACCACTGTGCTCTATTCCAGCACTGTCTAGCGTGTTTTAAAAATGTTCTTATCAATCCCCATGTGTGGAAGAGATGGGCATCAGTCTCTCTGGTACATGAGGGTGGAGCGGCAGCCGAGGAGCAGAGCAGCAGGTGCCGCTCCCAGATGCACACAGTGCAGGGGCGAGGGATTGGGAGTCAGTATCAAGTCCCCTTCAGGCTCCTGTGACTGTGCTAGCAAGACAAGACGCCTGGGGCAGCAGTGACAGCAGGCCGAGGGGCAGAGTTGATGCCAAGACACTCTGGGGGCAGAGTCACTAGCACGTGACATGAGAAAGACCAAGTCTGACTCCATACGCTCTGGCGGGGGTGGATAATGGCTGCTTGTACTGTACCACATACGTGGAGGTTAGAGGGAACCTGCAGGAGTTGGTTCTCTCCTCCCACCACGTGGACTCTGGAAATCTAACTCAGGTCATCAGCCTTGATGACAAGAGCCCTTACGGGCTCAGCCATCTCACACCCCCATGATCTCTGTTCTATGGGACCGGGAACACAGGTGCACAGAAAGCCTGGGAGCAGTTTGGGCGATAATCCCAAAAGATAATCCCATATTCCCAAACTTTGACATGGCCAAAGGATTAAAACCTTCAGATTAGGTTCTGGGGGGAAAATAATTTTTTTTAAACATTTCAAAAATGAGATTAACTTGAGAAACATGACAGAAAATGCCACTGGCTATTGTACACAATAAAATAGCAAGAATAACATTTTCCCTTTATAACCACTCAGACTAACGATGGTTACATAGGTGCACAGATAAAACATACTGCTAAAGATTCCAGGGTTGTATACGCCCGGCTTTATAACTGCATTGGAGAGACCATGATGGACAGCCTATCTTTTTATGAAATCAGTCAATAACTTGGATGGTTCCCCACCATGTATATCTTATCCAAAGAGCTGAGAACATCACATTTTTTAAAAAAGTTTTTATTTATGTGTTTTGCTTACATGTTGTTTGTCCACTTCGTGTATGCCAGGTTCCAGAGGAGGCCAGAAGAGGGCATTAGATCCCTGGAACTGGAGTTAGAAATGGTTGTGAGCTGTTATGTGGGTGCTGGGAATCTAACGTAGATCCTCTGGAAAAGCAGCCAGTGCTCTTAACTGCTGAGCCACCTTTCCAGTTCCAAACTTCTGAAATCTTACAAATTTAAGTGTACAAGAAAGTGTATTACAAGAAATCTGTGGAGTCTGCTTAAAGGGTAAAGGAATTTATTAGGGAGAAAAACTCACTACAGCAGAGGAGATTTATCGTAGGGTCCTGGAAGGCCAAGGTACAGTCTCACAATGTTCTTCCACCTCAGTCCATCTCAGCATCCAAGCCCACCAGGGAGAGAAGAAGAGAGACATACTTGAGTCTCAGGTCTTAAGGGTAGCCCCGAGTCATGCCCCAGGGGCAGGTACTTCAAGGTCATAGGTAGGACAGTTACCTGCTGCATCTCTAGGGGCGGTGCTTCAAGGTCATAGATAGAACAGGTATCTACTACATCTCCCCGTTTTGTCTAAATAAGAAAGTTCTAACCTAATACAAATTATATACAATAGGAATGATTATTAAGTGTTGTCCAGGAGAGGGGAGAGGTAATAACATAAACAAAAATAAAAATACAACCAGCAAGAACAACATCAAACAAGAGACACATAGTAAAGTCCAGATCATAGGTAAATAGCATGTTACAGAGATTACTCCAATAGCTGTCCTATCCTAAAGAATCTAACTTTGTTATCTGAAATGTTCTTAGCTAAGATATGAGAGGATTGTAACTGTAACTATATAGTCTTCAATCCCATCAAAAAACTGAGAAGGAAAATAATATTACCTGAGAAAAGAGGAAGTACAAGCAAGCAATTTCTGAAAAATTGTGAGAATAGACACAGAGACAGCTGGCAGACTGGACAGTCACCAAATGATTCTCAGCACCATTGGGGCATCCAATTTGGCTACAGGCCTAGAGTATCTGACAGACCATTTTCAGAAGCAGGAATTTTGAAAGACCGTCTTACCCTGTCTTGGCAGAGTTCAGTGGTTGCTTTTCCTTGTGTCCTGCTCATCCAGAGAGGACAGTATCCATATTGTCAGCAGGCCATTTTGTGCCAAGAAGAAGACAAACTTCCAAATGGAGTATCTTTAAAGCCCAACGTTCTCTCTGGATCAGATCGGTGCTGCCAGGAGCAATTGTTTCTCACATCAACAGAATTCTAACTTATAAAAACATTTAAATGCCATATTCTCTATGAAGTGTTTAATGATTACCTGCCCATCTGACATAAGTTTCTGTAAATCTGGGTAACCTAACTAGCATAACTATAGATATGACAAGCATGGGTGACTGTTAATCTGTAAGTCTTATCTACCTAAATAACCTAAGGACTAAGGTTTCACATTAACAGGGTAAACAATCTGTAAATAGATGTACAGTATAAGGACAATGGCCTCAAAATTGTGACAATACACAAAATATCTTAAACAGAGCTAGAAATGTATAGTTCAATATGATAACAATATTCTTTTTTTTTTTTTTGGTTTTTCGAGACAGGGTTTCTCTGTGTAGCTTTGCGCCTGTCCTGGAACTCACTTGGTAGCCCAGGCTGGCCTCGAACTCACAGAGATCCGCCTGGCTCTGCCTCCCGAGTGCTGGGATTAAAGGCGTGCGCCACCACCGCCCGGCTGATAACAATATTCTTAATATGTACCAATATACAAAATATCCTAAACAGAGGTAGAACATACATACAGTATGGTGAATATAATTTTACATTTGTATCAATATACATAATATTTCAAATAGGAGTAGGAATATGTGTACAATATGACAATTATAGTTTTAAAATTGTATCAATATACAAATTATCTTAAATAGGAGTAGAAAAATGCCTTAAACTTATGAGTAAGGAAAATAACGATTCGGGGTGACGCCTGAGTCCTCACTGCTAATGTGAGAAGAATTTTTGAGCGGGTAAAGGTTACCCCCTAAGGTGACCCGCCTACTTTGCAGGATGCCTGGGTGAGGTAGTCTGCCCGACCCCCTCTATGCTAAAGAAAGTCAGAAAGAGAACAAGTTGTCTGCATAGTTATCCCGAGACTGCATCCTGTGTACAGGTCAGGGGTTGTCTTGCAAGTAAACCGTGTTTACCCCATGTGTGGTCGAAACCCATCTTCTCCACTGGCTGGGCTGGATTCCACATCCACTACCAGTCAGTTATTTAAAATAATAATAGTAATAAAAGTGCATTTTTAAATTTAAAAAAAATAGGAGTAGAAAAATAGTTTATATTTGTATCAATATACAAGAATCCATATCAGTGCAAATTATCTAAGGCTGATAGTTTGCTAAATTAGTTTACTAACAAATATAATAATCTACCTTAATATACTACACCTATCTATTCCCCTTTTTTCTTTTCCAAAAAAGAATCCTGAGTAAATTTGTTCCACCCCCAACCCTATAACAACTTACTCATTAACCCTGAGAAAGTGAAAACTTTTGGGAGAGGGGGCATTGTTTTCTTAAAATTGCTTCCTGTTGTTTAGGGAGCGATAGTATCTCTGTGGGATCTTGTAAGAAAGCTGAATGATTAAGTCTCAATAGCACTAGCTATAATGTTTGTAGCCAGTCTCAGAGTAATAGGTAAGATTATCTGAGGTTCTGGCTAGAAGTGTAATATGATGGGACTGTCCTGAAGAGTTTGCAGTCTAAAGCTAATCATTGAGTGGTGATTTTTGGCTCAATGGCATCACTATGGACCAGATAGAGTCGTTGTTATGGGGCCCCATCTTCCCTCTGGAGACATCAGAGATTAGTGTTGGAAAGACTTACATTTCACTGTGGAAAACTTGAACATTATTAATATCAAAAGGAAAGTTTGGATTTTAGGATGATTCAAAGAAGGAGTCCGAGAAATCAAGGATAAGCATGTAAAGAAATAGAATCTTGACAACAATAGTCCCTAGATTATTGGTTTTCTTCTGTCCCACACCAGTTAGCTCTTCTGATATGAGACAGAATCTCTTAATTTTTCTTTCAGCAACATGCTTAGGTTTAGAGAAGAAGAGAACCACATTCCAACTCCAAAGCCAGCTTGATTTATAACTGAATCGGGACTACAACTTTTCTAGAGTTAAAGAGATATAGATGTTAAGCAGTGAGATATTACCCTGTGGAGTATATTGGTACCAATAGGTCTTCCCTTCTTCTGTAGACAACTGGATGTCCTAGGCCTTTTGATTTCTTGAAGATGGGTATTCTTATTATTCTGTAAAGCTGAAAAACAGAACCCTGCCCCTACCCTTGTTTATTGAGTTTTCCTTACAACTTGTAGAGATGTCACATCAATGGATGTGCTATCATTTCTCCTCATCAAGGGGTTTCTCCTGTTTGAATCAATTTTTTATTAATTTTGTTGGTATCCATAGCTTTTGTTCTCCTACAGAAACAAAAGCAAAACCCCTTCCCCACTATAGGACATATCCTGTTTTCCTTTCTGAGGTCAATACATCTTTGAAATAAACAGGTTGGTTTAGCTCAGGAGTTTTTTCTGTTTTCCAATGTCTCTCCACAGCTGTTGTTCCTTTCTCATCAGCATTGATAAAATTCAAGGTTAAGCCGGGCGGTGGTGGCGCACGCCTTTAATCCCAGCACTCGGGAGGCAGAGGCAGGCGAATCTCTGTGAGTTCGAGGCCAGCCTGGTCTCCAAAGCGAGTACCAGGAAAGGCGCAAAGCTACACAGAGAAACCCTGTCTCGAAAAACCAAAAAAAAAAAAAAAAAAAAAAAAAAAAAAAAAAAAAAAAAAAAAAAAATTCAAGGTTAATAAAGCACTATGTAATCTATTTCTAGGGGTCATTGTTACCTCTTCCTGTTTATTTAGCATATCCTTTAAAAGTTTGATTGGATCTTTTTATAACTGCTTGGCCTGTGGGATTGTGTGTTATACCTGTAATATGCTTTATATTGTAATAAGCAAAAAAACTATTTAATCTTATTTGAGACATACGCTGGAACATTGTCAATCTTAATTTATACAGGTATTCCCATGATGGCTATAACTTGTAATAGGTGTGTAATTATAGAATCAGCCTTTTCAGAACTCATAGGAGTTGCCCATTGAAATCCTGAATAGGTGTCAATGGTGTGGTGTACATATTTTAATCTTACAAATTCTGCAAAATTAAACATATCCATCTGCCATATTTCATTTCTTTGTATACCTTTAGGATTACTTCCTGCAGGTAATGGAGTTTGGTTATAGAAGAAACAAGTAGGACTTTTTTTTTTACGATTTCCTTAGCTTATTGCCAAGTGATGGAAAAGTTCCTTTTTAAACCTTTACTATTTACATGGTGTTTCTTATGAAATTCTGAGACTTCTAGCACATTACCTATTAATAACTACTCAATCTTATCATTACCTTGTGCTAGAGGACCTGGCAGACCCATATGGGATCTGATGTGTGTTTTATATATATAGGATGTTCCCTATTTCTGATGATTTCCTGTAATTGTATAAGTAGTGAAGTTAATTCTGTATTATCAAGAATAAATTCATCAGTTTCAGTATGTAAAATAACTCTCTCTGCATATTGAGAGTCAGTAACTATATTGAGAGGTTCTGTGAAGTCCATAAGTACCATAAGAATGGCATACAGTTCTGACTTTTGTACAGAATTGTAAGGGCTTTGAACTACTTTACTTAAATCTCCTGGTTTATATCTTGCTTTTTCCTGATTTACTTGTATCAGTATAGAATATGGGGACTCCAGAGATTGGTTTTTGCCATACAATATGAGGAAGGAACCATTCAGTTCTTTTTATGAATTCTATTCTCTTGCTTTTGGGATAACAGTTATTAATCTCTCCAAAAAAAATACTGCAGGCTCTTTGTCAGTATTCATTATCTTTCCATAAAGAGGAAATTCCCTCATTAGTTAAAGGTACTACAATCTCTGCTGGGTCCATTCCTGTCAATTGATGAAGTCTTAATTTTCCTTTTAGAATCAAATCAGAGATCCTTTCCACATATGTCTTTAATTTCTTACTCAGTTTACATGGCAGAAATATCCATTCCAATATAATATCCTCCCTCTGCATCAAAATTCCTGTGGGGGAGTGTCTGGAGGGGAGTATGACCAGAATGCAGTTAAGTTCTGGATCCACACAATCCATATGTGCCTCTCATATTTTCTTTTCTGCTAGAGCCAATTTCTTCACAGTTTCAGCTGATAATTCTCTTGGACTATATAAGTACTTGTTCCCTTTTAGGGTATTGGCCAAATTTACTAGTCCATCTTTAGGTATTCCAATGATAATCTGTAAGTTGGAAATGCTTCTTAACAATTTTTGAAAATCATTAAGAGTCTGCATAGATCTCTCCTGAGTGGTAGCTTTTGGAGTCTAAATTTTGTAGATCTATCTTATATCTAAATAATTAATAGAATCTTCTCTTTGTATTTTTTTCAGGACCAATTTGTAATCCCCAGTGAGGCAAAACTTTCTTTACTTCTTCAAACATACTTTCTAAAGTATCTGACTTCAGATCAGCTAATAAGATATCATCCATATAATAGTAAATTATAGGTTGTGGAAATTGTGCATGAATGATTTCCAATGGTTTTTGCACAAAATATTGTTACAGAGTGGGGCTGTTTAACATTCCCTGAGGGAGGACCTTCCATTGGTATCTCTTGACTGACTGAGAATTATTATATGTGGGTACTATGAAGGCAAATTTTTGTCTAACCTTTTCTTATCAGAGTATGGTAAAGAAATAGTCTTTTAAGTTAATAACTATAATAGGCCATTCTTTGAGTAACAGGGAGGGCAAGGGCATCCCATTCTGTAGGGAGCCCATAGGCTGAATTACTTCATTAATGACTCTCAGATCTGTCAGCATTCTCCACTTACCAGATTTCTTTTTAATAACAAATACAGGAGAATTCTAAGAGCTGGTAGATTCTTCAATATGTTGAGTATTTAACTGCTCCTGAGCCAGTTGTTCTAAGGCTTGTAGTTTCTCTTGTGTCATAGGCCATTGTCCAACTCAGACAGGTTTATCAGTTAGCCATTTTAAAGGTAGGGTTGTTGGTACTTCTGAGAGTTCAACAGTGATTGTGCTCTGTTTATGTACAGCCTGAATAGTTGGTGGTGGTTTTTTTAGTGTCTTCTAATATTATCCCCAGATACATGGTCTATATTCCATTCCTGAGACTGTAGGATTTTAATCTGGGTATTCCACTGCTGTAACAGATCTCAGCCCCAAAGATTCACTGCTACATTTGCCACATATGACTTCAGCCTTCCTCTCTGTTCTTCTGGCTCTATGCATTCAATCCATCTCAAACTCTCTTTTACCTGAGATAAGGTTCCAATCCCTAGAAATTGAACATCTACCTCTTGAAGAGGCCAATTCAGATGCCATGATTTTGGTGTAATTATAATCACGTCCATACCTGTGTCCCCTAAGCCTTCTAGAATAATGTTATTAATCATACTCTAAGCTTTGGTCTTTGTTCATTTATGGAAGTCTGCCAAAATATTCATTTTATTGTATTTTTTTGAATTTTGATCCAACTATCAAAGCTATTCTATCATCCAGTTCAGTATTGTTCTTCATATTAGGCACTGGATTATTTAATTGTCCTGGGGAGGAATTTCCTCCACAGTGACTGGAAATGACTGGACCACATTTGATTGGGGACCTGTGGGAGGCCCCGTCCCCTGCCCGAGGCATTTCCCAATAGTAAAGGGTTGCTTTGTATGTGTCTTCTTGATCTGCGTTTATTGGTACAATGTTGGCCTTTGCTGCATCTTTTGCATAATCTGGAAGGTTGGGGTCTCCTGTTTGGATTATTTCTAGAAGAAGCATTGCTTCTAGGAGCACCCTGTGTACAACTTCTTCTTATATGACCTGGTGCACCACAGTTAAAACATTTGGTACTTTGATGCCTCCTTCCACCTTTGGAAATTGCCTCTCCTAGTCAATCCTCATCACAATCATTAAGAAACTCAATATTGTTTATGCATTGGT